CAGTGACAGCTTTGTCGTGGGAGGGAAGGGAAGGGGAGATGGATGTCAGAAACTGGAAGACGGTACGCGGAGCTCCTACCTAAGCATATTAAGCACTTTCTCTGGACAGCAGTCAGATGAGGGTTGAGTTGTGACTTGACCCTCTGTGCCTAGATGCCAGCAGTCTGTTACAAGACTCCCTAGTCACTTACCCTGAAGAACACTTATTACGTCTTCTTTTTTGCTTTCTTCTGAACTGTCTTTTTCATAATATGACAAATTCTGCCCACATACACACAGAAATTCCCATGCAGATGTTGGCAGCTTTGTTCCACCATGGCAAGGCTGTGGGGTGCAGGAAGCATGGGAACAGAGGGATCCTCGGCACAGAAGATCCTCAATGCCGCTCCTGCAGGATTAGGGATCAGCTTCCTGGCACTTTCTCGGAAGCCTGGGATCCAAACTACAGGCACTGAAGCCACAGATGCCAGCCCCTGGCCAGATGGCTTAAACCCCATCCCATTTATTCAGAAAAGTAACAGGTGCCTGGGTTTAGACATTTTCTTTAGGAAGTTTCCATAATCAGCTGCCTCCGAGGCACACACAATAGGGCACATGTTAGTAACAATACAGCAATGCATTAAAATAAATTACATTTTAAAAGGCATTATCTACCTCAGTAGTCTCTCCCACTGGGTCTGGAAGGTGGGGCTGGACAGCGCCCAGCTGAGTCATTACCAGGAACCTCTTTGGAGAAATCAGACAGTGTACAGGTGCAGAGGGGAAAGAGGGAGTTCCCAGAGCTTGAAGATGTGCTGAGATCCCTGAGCATAGCTAGAGTCCTGAGACCTGCTGTTTAGTTCTGGTGTCTCTGCCTCGGGCCCTTCTGTCTGAGCACTCCTGGGTCACAGGCCAGGGCGTAGCAGAAAGAGCACAAGCTCCTGAGTCACACAGATGTGAACTCAAGTCTTGGCTTCGCTGTTACAAGTTGGGAGACCTAGAGAAATGTAGGTGGAGAGGGTTAAGGTGGGTCTGGTGGAGAGGCTTAGGGTAGGATAGTGGAGAGGGTTAGGGTAAGACAGGTGGAGAGGGTTAGGATGGGTCAGGTGGAGAGGGCAGGCGTGAGATGAGGAGAGGGTTAGGGTGGGTCAGGTGGAGAGTATAAAGGTGAAATAGGGGAGAGGGCTGTCTGTGACTGGTGACTGTATCAGTTACAGAGAACTTCCAGCTGGGGAGGGAATGGAATAAAGCCATGAGTGAGATGATGCATTGAGATTAAAGAAACAGGTAGAGGGACGAAAGATCCTAAGAGGGCAAGGAATCCATAAATGATGAGTGATAAAGCTGGAGGGATGGGAGGTGTGGTCAGAGGATGATGTCCTGGAGTTTCAGGAGTGGAGCCATGCTAGCCGATGACAATGTACAAAAGGTTTTAGTAAAGGCATCAATAAGATTTTTGAGTCCAGGAGATCAAAGACCCCAGAAGCCATGCACTGACTGCTATATGATGCTGCTTATTTTAAAATGCTTAGAGACAGCTAGAAAGAGAAGTCATGCACATACAAAGCTCAGTGGCCTCAGGACCGTGAGATTATAATTAGCCGGGGAACTCACAGAGGGCTGTGTGGAGCATGTGCTACTTAAAATGGGCATCGTGGTGGGCATCATGGCCCATTTTAAGTAGTGGCTCCTGCCTGTAATCCTAGCACTTTGGGAGGCCAACGCAGAAGGATCACTTGAGCCCAGGAGTTTGAGACCAGCTTGGGCAACATAATGGGACCTCATTCCTAAAAAAAATACAAAAATTAGCCAAGTGTGGTGGTGCATGCCTGTAGTCCCAGCTATTTGGGAGGCTGAGATGAGAAAATTGCTTAAGCCTGGGAGGTAGAGGCTATGGTAAGTCGTGATCATGCCACTGCACTCCAGCGTGGGGGACAGAGTATCTCAAAAAAATTGTGTGTATGTGTGTGTGTGTGTGTGTGTGTGTGTGTGTGATGAGAGAGTAAATGAGCAATATTTAGCAATGCAAAGATTAGAGGAAGCAATTCGGAGAGGATAGCATGATGCCTTAATTATGACAAAGGCCTTCAAACTAGCCTTCTTGACCCACAGTTTCCGCCAAGAAGCTGAATATAGAATCAGAAAGGTTCATTTTAATCCTAGCTATTCTGCTTAAAAGTTCGTGAGTTTGGGCATATCACAACTCTTTCTGAGTCTTAGTTTTCTCTACTATAAAATAGAGATAAGAATATTGTTATGGGTTATAGGACTGAATGCAAAGGTGATTTGTAAACAGCATAGATCACTGATTCTAGACCTGCCCGAATATTGGAATTACCTGAAGTGATTGCTAAAATATAGATTTCTAGTGATAAACAGCTATCACCAGCAGGAAAGAGGTCTCTTGACCTCTGCCTTGGCCCACACTCCAATCTACTGCCCATACCCCCATTGACTGAGCCTAACCAGGAGCTGGCCAGCAAAGGAGCATGCAGCCTGTGGGTCTCATTCTCCTGGCACATAAACACAAGGGGACACACAGGATAATTAGCACTCTCCCTTTGTCAGAAGCTTCCAGAGACTTCACTGCCTACTAAATAAAGCCTAATCTCCATAACTGAAAGTTCAAGCCCCTTTATAATCTGCACAATCTTTCCACACTTTTCTTCCACTCACTGCTAACACAACTGAGGCTGAAATGGTAGTCAGTCAGCACCACGTGTTCCCTGGCCCATTGGGTCTTCTGCCATTCCACCTGCCGGTATGCTCTCTCCAGCCCCCTTTTCTCTTAGGAGAACCTTCTCAGCCTCCATTCAAGAAGGTCTGTCTATGAGGGCATCTCTGATAACCTCCAACTGAGAAAGGTCCTCGTCTCCCTCGGCCCCTCTCTAGAGATTGCATTTGTCCCATTTGCATGATTCACCAAGGCCCACCTCACACCTGAGGTGAAGTTATTTGTGTCCACTATTACCTCTTCTATGAGACTGAAAGCTCCTTGAGGACAGAAACCATGTCTTTTATGTCCTTCCATTGCCCAGTTCCCAACATTACACTGGCTTACGACACCTCCACCTCCTTTCCCTGGCTCATAAACTCCTGTGGTTTCTCTAAGATCCAGCTCAAATGCCAACTCTCCTGTCTCCTCCAAGCAGAGCAATTTTATCTCCCCCTTTCTCCTGCCATAGGACTGTGCAATGTATCTCTGTCCCCCCACCCCTTTCCCACTCAGGAAGTCAGTGTCCTGGTTAGCAGTACACATTCTGCAGCCTGTCTGCCTGAGTTCAAACCCTGAGACTATCACTCAAAAGCTGTGCAACATTGAGAAATGCCTGTTTCTTCATTTTACTCACGATAGGAAGTCAGTTTATATATGTAAAGCCCTTAGCATAGTGCTGGCATATATACCAAATGCTAAAAAATGTTAGCTATTAATATCATCACTTTAAGCTCCTTAAAGGCAAGACCTGTGTCTTAGCCTTTGTTTCCCTAGTGTATACACAATTCCTGATATTGATTGGTGTCCAATATATGTTTGTTGATAGCATGAATGCATAGGCATTTAGAATTCAGTAAATATCTGGGTGGGTGAGTGAATGAGGGATAAGTAGATGGGGGGTCAAATGTAGGTACTTTGTAAATGATGCTGGTTTCATGAATACATGAATCAGTAGGTATTCAATACGTGCTGTCTGTTTAGTTCATTGCTTAAAACAAATGAGTGAATGAGAAAAAGAATGAATAATAGGTATTTAATAAGAAGGTTGATTGGTTGCATGGTTGAATTAACAAGCAGATTTTCCACAAATAGCAGATGTTCCATATATGTTGGCTGGCTGAGTAAATAAACAAGCATTCCTAAAATGTAACAACAGCCTGGAGTCAAAGCTGAAAGGACACAGCTAGAGCACCAGTCAGAGAGAGAGGGGTGATAGACTCTATCCCCTCCCCAGTAACTGCTTCAGAAATTGTCCCCTTCTCCCTGCCATTTCTGAAGTTCTCCCCCCAGCCCACAACTGCTTCTGCATCTGGCCTGGTGCTCACGAGTGATACAGGAACCTGGGGTAGGAAGAAGGGCTGGAGATGCGCCAACCTCTTCCTCTTCTCCCCACTCAGCCAAGGACCAGCCTACTGAAGACCCTGGGCCCCCAGTACTGGCCTCCATGCCCCACCCCTCATGAGGAGGGCAGCCTTCACCTCAGAGCACTTTAGAAGCAAAGTCTGTATTACAGCAGACCCAGGGAGCTAATCACCTCACACATTCCAGGCCCCAATTTCTGGCTCCGCTGTTCCCCTGAGGCAGCCCCAGCAACCACACATCTCTAGTTAATGAATTATTTTGCAACACGTCTGGAGATGCATGAACTAGAAATCTTACACATGTTGGAGGATTTTGCCATTTCTATTAAATATGCCATTCATTTGGTGGGTAATTAAATGTGCAATAATGGGCTCTAATTTCCATCTTAAATGACTTCCTAGGAACAGCAGAAAGGAAGAAGCAGGGTGTAATTTTCTGGAAAAACCTTTTTTTCCCCTAAAGCTTTTCAGCACATAGAGAAGCAGGAATTGAATAAAATAAAGTTAGGTTGACACTACTGCCCCACGTGTGAGTCTTCTGCCATTGCCCCCAGCAGGGAAAGAGACTAAAGCCTGCAACACAGCAGCATCCCCCACCCCCAAAGCCCTGATGCAGCCTGGGGAGGGCTGTCCAAAAAGTCTGAGCTCAGGGGAGAGAAGAGAGGTTGGACAGAAACAGGAGCTGGTAGTGAGGTGGGAGGGAACATCTCTGCAGATTGCCACAGATCTGAGGGTGATAAGCCTTCCTCCTCCTCTCTGCACTTCCCCATCTTATATGTGTGCTGTGTGTGAGCACATGCATGCATACACACATGTGCACAAGCATGCATGCACAAACATGCACACACACATAGGTTTCACTGTCCGACGCTAGCAGCACCAGTCTGAGCCAACTGCAGTGAGGTAGCCAGGAAGCAGAAGGGAGGAAGGGTTCATGCTGCACTGGAATAAAAAGGGCCAGGTAGGAAACACCACCCTTGTGGGAGCTGCATGGGCTTTGAGGTCACATACCCCTGGCTTCAGATTCGCGTTCCATCACTTGCTGTGAGAATATGGTCACTTAGCCTTTTGAGACTCAGCTTCCTCATCTGTAAGACGAGAAGGAAACAGTCAACCCAACTACCTGGTACACCCCTGGCACACAGTAGTAGGCTCTCAATAAGCCTGATTCTTGCCTGCCCTTCTCTCCCTCAGTTGGCACTGACGGTCAGCCTTGTTGGGGTCAACATGCAAACTACAGACTAGGTCCTCCCCACCCCAACGCCTCGGACTGGCCTGCACGCTCCACTCCCCCTCCCCTCCCTCCATTCATCCCATCTCTAGACAGCCTTGGCATCTCTACTTCAGTAGGAATGATGCTTTCACCCTTTCTTGAGGTAGGGCTGAGATATGCAGGGAAGCCGAAGACAACATAATGCAACTGGGTTCCTGATGAGAATACAAAGGTAGCACCAGTAAGGAAGGGCAGAAAAAGCAAACCTGGGGCACCTCCCTTTCCCTGCATGGTCTGGAGTGAGTTCACAGACTTCCTAATCTGCACTCCAAGGCATCCCTCCCCTCAGAACCTTCAGGAGCTGACGCCAGAGAGCATCAAGCAGGGCTTCTCCACTCCTGGGGCCGTGAATTTGGAGGGACCACTGGAAGGGCTACTACCACTGGCTAGTGCTTCTCAGCTCCTGGGTCTCTCCCAAGTGGGTTTCTGGTTCAGCTCAGCTTGGCAGAACCCCTGCGTGTAGACAAGGGTGCTGAGAGGAGGCTGAGAGCAGCAGCCGATATCTGCCTGCTCCTCTGCTGGGGCTCCATTCTGGGAATCTGGAAAGAAAATAAGCAAATTATTCTGAGTATCTCCCAGAATACCTCAGGATCTCAGACCAGGAAATGGAAGTAATAGGCCAGTGTAACAGCTGAGCTGGAAGGAGGCCTGGGGTGGAGGTGTGGGGTGGGGGGAGGCAAAATGAAAAGAAATTAGCTGGTTGACTCAAAGCAGAGGCTCCACTCAAATTAAAAGGTAGACATGGGTGAAGGTATGCTGGGAGTGAGGCAGGATCCTTTACAAGGCAAGATCAGACAAGAACCAAAAGGACCCAAGGACAGTACCCAGCTATAGGGCCTGGGCCCCATTCTGCAGGGTAAAATGTGCAGCATACAGCTCCCTCAAGCCAAACTTCTATTTATTTATTCTTTCAAGCACTCACTGTTCACTTACTCAGTTACTCAACCAATATTTATAGATTGTCAGCTTTACACAAAGCAGACCATTCATGAGATAAACGTGAGTTTGAGAGGGAGGCAGACCTGGTTTGAGTCTCTATTCTGTCATTAACATTTATATGACTTTGACAAGTTACCTTGAAGTCTCTGGGCCTCAGTTTCCACATCATAGAATAGGGTTATTGTGCAGACCAAATGAGAAAATACCTACACTGGCTTAGTATGGGGTCTAGCACACAGTTTTGCATTAATTTAAAAATGTGTCATTGCTGTTATTTTGAAGGCAAGGTGCTAAGATCCTAAGACGCTCAAACCATGAGATTATCCCCTTGCACAATCAGTGCATAAAATATACATTCTATAAAATTATGTCCCCAGGGAAGTGTTCTGTCCTTATTGTTGCCTACACTATCTGCCATAGAGCTTTGCACATGATAGGTGCTCCTTAGCTAGGTGCTCCTTAGCTATTTGGCAAATGACCAAGCATGAACCATTTCAACAATAATTAATGTAGGAGATCATAGCCTTATTCAGAACACTGGGCTGTAGAGATGGCAATTTAATCATGGGCACTGACATGGACCCAAATTTAGCCTAGGTATGAAATCTAGGACTGGACACTCCCCAGAGATTACCTTTCTAATGTTTCCTTTGAATTTTTCTTAAGTTACGGAACATAAAGTGTTACGTACAGGATGCCAGGTATTTGTAGTATTACAGCGTTCATCTCTTTTGTGCAATAAATACTGAATTCCTGTCCAGAGGAAAACTGACAAAGAAATTCCAGCTTGTGATGAAGAAAGAGAGAGAGATATTGAGAAGTAGCCAGCCAGAATCCATAAACTCATAAATCCAGCTATAGGGCCTGGGCCCCATTCATAGGGCATGAAACAAGCTTGGACCACAAGGCAGGAAGGGACATGGGGAATCATCGTCATCCTTCCCACTCATCTAACAGATGAGGACACAAGGTCCAAAGAGGCTCTGTGACTTGGCCAAGGATGCCAGCTAGTTAGTGACAGGGCTGCGACAAAGCACGGTCTCCTGGCTCCATTTCAATGATCCTTCCACTACATCCGGTTGTCATCGTCTCTGAACACAAATCAGCAGAGGCAAGCAGATGACTGCTTTCTTCCTAGTCAAGCCAGAGGGACTGGAAGAGCATCACTTAGCAAAAGAGGGCCAAGTACAGCCTCTTATTAGAAGCCAATCACTGGAGCATGGCCACCTCCCAGCAGATGCCAGTCAAGGCAGCTCTTCTTCAGCCCCCACAACCGCTCTCTCTATGCTGGCTTTTCAAATGAAACGTTATCAAGCATGTCCATGTCTGCAATTAAGCCAGCTGGGCAGGGGAATCCGTCCTAGAGACAATTAGAACTGACACCTGCTTTTAAAAATGAAAATAATCTGAGGAATATTTAAGTAAGTCACAGTTCAGCTGCCACATTAAAAAAAAAACAGAAACAGGAGGGTGGGGTTTAAAGGATGGCCTTAGGGGAGAGATAATGGCCACTGGGCAAGGCTCTCCAAGGGGCCTCTTCCAATGAAACCAAACTCGGAGGAATCCACAGAGACCCCAACTTCCCTTTCTTAAAAGCTCTGCCTCCTCACACCTTCCAAGCTACAGGTCAGCTAGGTGCTGCAGCAAGTGGCTGGGGGCTTCAGGGGAGTGAAGAAAGGAAGCTGAAGAACTTAGGGAACTACCTGTGATCAAGCACCATTTGACTCTAGACCCTGCCCTGCACCTCCTCAGGTCCCTGTCCCTCTTTTTGCCCCCTCACACCATCCTGTCTACACACAGTCTGCACCTCCTTCTTCAAAGGCACCTGCCTAGCTCTACTTAGTTCTTTCTGACAACTGTTGCAAAATCTCAAGTGATAATGAAGGCACCTCTTTCACCATTTTCTAACCAGGGTTTGACACAGGTTCTGATGCATACTAAACATTTAATAAATGTGTTAAATGACCAAAAACTCTTAAACATTACCATTTTATTTCCACCTGCAATTTTCTATTTAATTCCATCTCACACCTATTCTTTACTTAGGTAGCTATGACCCTTCAGATGTTGGCAGCTGGGAGCACCATTTCATAGATGAGAAAACCGAAGTTTGAATCAGTGAAGTGGAATTGCCTGTACGACCCGACCCGGTTGGTAGCTGGAAAAGCCAAGCACCCTACAGGTCTTTCACCTGGGGTCTCACACTCTTTCAGCCACAGGAGGTGCCTTTCCTGAACTGTGGATGCTCCATGGGCAATAGAATGTAAAAGGGAACTCTGTTATTCCACGACCTAACCTGGGGCCATGTGCATGGTAGGAGCTCAGTAGCTAAGACAAGCCAACCTAGAGGTTCTGTTGGAAGCTGTTTTTTCACAGCGAAGAGGTGGTGGAGGTAGGGGATGCATCATAGGTGGTGGTGATGGAAAATCTTAGAGAAAAAATGCAAGGCAGAATGCATCAGTTGAATCACAGCCTAAGTTGTATGAGTCAGACTCTTAAGTGCTCAGAGATTTGGCGAAGGGAAGGGAGAGACCAAAGGAGATGAAGTCAGATCCTTCGTGGAACTTAGGTACTGCATTGAAACTTGATGAAAGGTTACAGTTTGGTTAAATAAGGAATCGGGAGCTGAGTCTTCCAAATGTAAAATATAGAGCATGGTGTTTATTCCCACCCTCTCTGGGGACAGGAGAATAATCAGACTATAGCAGGGGGCCCAAGAAAGAGAAAAACGAAAAGAAATGGGTCAGAGCAGCTCAGGTTGGAACAGACCCTAAATTCCAGGACATCCATTTCCCTCTGCATTTTGGTCCCCGTCAGGAATCTCCCATCCCTCTCTCTTTGTCAGTCCTTGTCCTCCCATTCTGTCTAACATTCCCCCCATCCCCACCACCCCTTCTCTTTCCTCTAATAGTCTCACCTTCTTCTCCAGGCCTTCTGGGGACTTCCTGGCCTCCTCTGCTGATTCTCCTTCTGGCCCCTTCCTCCTCCCAGCCTGGGGTTTTTTATCCCCTCTACATTATTCCCACAAATCAGTTCACAGCACAATGCCACAAATAGTGACCAAATTCCAGCTGCCTATGCCAGCCGGCACTAGGTTGAGTATATTGAGACAAATAAGACCATTTTTATGTAAAAGATTTTTATTAAAGATTTCAAAGTACCCAGGATTAGCATCTTTGTTTCAGCTAAAATCCTTCCAGGCCACACTCCAACCTCTCCCCACTGCCCCCATCTCACTGCCTTTCCCTTCAGGGCTGGTGTAGACCTAGGCATTGTGACCACCAGTTTAAGCTATGTGCCACCTCACCCAGTAGCAGGAACACGTAGAAAAGTGTTAAACAAGAACACTTCTATCAAAGGGATCTTTCACCACAACCCCAGCCCAGGACAAAGTCTCTATTCCTTCACATGTTTGATTACTGCATTTGGAGCTCATTGGAAAAAAACTGGCTTTACTTTGATGTTTTTCCAGGTCTCTCTCCCTTGCTTTATTGGTCTCAGCTACTCTGCCAGAGCTTCAGACTTATTTGTCTCCCCTGCATTTATGCACAGGGTGTTTGCGCAGTAATACCCAGGATTTGGTTGGGATTTCTGTAAAACACATTATTGTATATGTTACAGAAGACTGGGGGTGTCTACCTGACTTCTAAGCATGATTCAGAATGCAGAGCTGAGCACAGTCTGATTATTTTTAGCATTGGTATGGGGCTATTAAGTGTCTATCCATGCTCTCTTCTCTCCCTTGGGTCTCAGATGTCACCTTCCAAGATACTCAGAGTCTCTAAGAGGAGTGTGGTCAGCCTGTAACAAGGCCATTGAGCCCCCCTCAACTGCCAGCCTCTCCCAAGCCTTCCCCATGGTAGCTCTGGACTTGCTGGATGATACGAATAAACTTCCAGAGAAACTCAGTCCATGTGAGGAAATAGACCACATAGGTCCACAATGATACAGACCCTTAGTGTGTCCTCAGGCAGTGCCCACCCCACACCAGGAACACTTCAGCCTCACCTATTCCCCTTCCCAGAGCCTGAGTTCCAGCCCCTTCCCTAAAGCTGTCTTCCGAAATGAAAGCACCTCACACCCAGCAAGTCCAGATGGAAAGGCTTGCTCTTCTCTTGGTTACACTCTTTCCGCAACCTTCCCCTTTGAAGAAAGGCACTCCCAATCTCCAGGTGCTCAAGCTACAAAGCCAGGATACATTTTTGGCATTTTCCTTCCCCTTGTCTCTCCTCTATTCAGTCTTTCACCAAACCCAGAATATTTTATCTCCAAAATATCTCGCAGGCCATCCACTTCTCTCCTTCACTGCCATGACACTAGCCCAGGCCACTATCATCTATCTCTCAAGTAGATCACTCACTAGTGTCTCAGCTCCCACTGTTCCCTTTTAGTCTATCCTCCATACTGTGGCCAGATTGAGCTACCCAAAACCAAGTCTGATCACATCATTCCCCTACTTAAAACTTTCCAATGGCAATAAGAAAAAAAGAAATGTCCCAAGTCCCTTATATGGCCTCCAAGACCTTTCATGATCTGGCCCCTGATCACCCCCACGTGAACCTTCTCCCAGGCCACACTACACTCTTACCCCTCCTTGCCAAGCACAGTCCTCAAATATCCCAAGTCCCTCAGCACACGCTGGCCCGTGTGCCTAGAAGAGAACACTGACCCTTGTGTGCCCATGCTCATTCCTGCCTGGCCTACTCCAGCTATCCTTCAAGTCTGCTTAAAATTCATATTAGCAAAGGCCTTCCCTGACCACCCTAATCTAGATTTCGTTCCACTGTTTTAATCTGTCTACATGGTACCCTATACTTCTCCTCCACAGTTTGTAATTACATGATTATGCATGCAATAGTATGTTTAAGTCTTCCTCATCAGACCATAAGCTTCAGGAGGGTAGGGGCCATGTGTTTCCTTCCCGCTATATTACAACTTGGGGGCACAAATATTAACAAGTCCCTCTCATTGAGGAACTCATACTCTCATGCTAAAGACACACCTATGAACAGGACATTCTAACTCAACCTCTAAGGTGTCAAGGTGTATTAGTCCATTCTCACACTGCTATAAAGATACAACCTGAGACTGGATGAAAGAGGTTTAATTGACTCACAGTTCCACATGGCTGGGGAAGCCTCAGGAAACTTACAATCATGGCAGAATGGGATGCAAGGACCTTCTTCACATGGGAACAGGACAGAGAACTGCAAGAAGGGGAAATGCCAGATGAGTATAAAACCATCAGATCTCATGAGAACGCACTCACTATCATGAGAACAGGATGGGAGAAACCGCCCCCATGATCCAGTCATTTCCCTCCCTCGACACGTGGGGATAACAATTCAAGATGAGATTTTGGTGGGGACACAGAGCCAAACCAAGTCACAAGGCTTTTAAGGTTAGCAAGGTCTAGGGCATAGCCACGTTAGCCCAAGAGAACACCAGCTTCCCGGAGTCTGTGAGCATCTAAAGGATGAGCCAAACTCGACCAGTGTGCTGGCCATTTGATCATGGCACCTGCTGCCCCTACAGCTCCTTCTAAGGGATGGCTGCCCCACCTGGACCTGAGGAATGGGTATTCATGGCCATGCCTTACACCAAACCTACCCACCAGACCTCTGCTCCCTGACACAGTTGATTTCATAATAGGGAGTGGCTGACCAAGAGTAAACAATCCCCAGGCTTTCTAGCATGGCATAGAGCAGTGGTGCTCAAATTCTGGGGGCTCAGGACATCTTTATATGCTTAAAAATTGCTTAGAACTACAGAAAACTTTTGTTTTTGTGGCTTATATCTACTAATATTAACCGTATTTTTCATACAACACCACATATGTAAATTTTACCATATTTTAACTCTAAAAACATTCATTTATGAGTTCATTTAAAAATAAAAATAGAAAACCTATTGCATCCTAACATAAACAACATATTTTTATGTTAATCACTTATGTCTTTAGATGCAGGCACACTTACACATAGACATATAGCTTAGAAGGTATATAAGCTCTGGAAAACTTTGTGATTTTGAGTTGGTCTGGTGATTTTTTCCAGGTCTCCTCCCTGTACCTGGTAATAAAAATAAACTCCCTTCCTTCCCAGTTCATCTGCATCTCCATATTAGTCTGCAAGAACAAGCAGCCCGACCCTCAGTTTGGTCTGGGAACAACGTCTCCTCCAACTTCAATGCAGGCTGTTGTGCAAGACCCTCCTTCTTTACCCTTCAGCAGCTTTCAGTGCATGTAGTTTATCGATCCTCAACATTAGAATAAAAGGGCAGCTTAAAAAGCAATTTTAAGTCCAAGCCCCATCCCAGAGCAATTAAATTGGAATTTCTAGAAGTGGTTCAATCATTGCTATTTTTAGAAAGCCACCAAGGTGATTCTATCATGCAGCCAGGGTTGAGAACTACTGAGGACTAAAGTTTTTGTGTGAATCCATCTTCCTTCTTTCTGGTCTCCAGTGCTTAAGGAAAGGAGGGTCCCCTTTGATAATGAGACCTGGACTCTTGGTAAGGAAGTTCATGAGACTCAATTATTCCAAGGCTATGACATGGCAAAAATGTCTAACAACTAATATGTATAATTAAAATTTAATGATATATTTTGTGAGCCAGTCTTTCAACAAATACCTACAGCATGCTTATTACATGTCACACACTCAGGATACAACAGACAAAAATTCCTGCCTTCATGAAGCTTACATTCTAGTGAGGGGAATAACAAATTAGTAAAATATATGCTATGTTAAATGGTGACAAGTACTATGGAAAAAAATAAAGCAGAGACTAGGACCAGGAATTCCCCAGGGATAGGGAGCGTTTGCTGTTTTTAGAATGGCAGAGACTTAAGTCAGAGAGAGGGAATAGCTCTGCAGACACTTGGAGAAAGAACAATCCAGTCAGTGGAGGATTACCCTAAGGTAGGAGTGTGCCTACCATGTGCTAAGCTCCTTGCAGACATCTTGTATTTTATTCTCACACAACTATTTAAGGGAGGTATTATCCCCATTTTCCAAACAGTGTTCAGAAAGAATCAGTAGGCCGGGTGCAGTGGTTCACATCTGTAATCCCAGTACTTTGGGAGGCCGAGGCAGGTGGAACTTCCGAACTTGAGGTCAGAAGTTCGAGACCAGCCTGGCCAACAAGGTGAAACCCCATCTCCACTAAAACTACAAAAATTTGCTGGGTGTGGTGGTGCATTCCTGTAATCCCAGCTACTCAGAGGCTGAGGCAGGAGAACCACTTGAACCCAGGAGGCAGAGGGTGCAGTGAGCGGAGATCGCACCACTGCACTCCAGCCTGGGTGACAGAGCAAGACTGTCTAAAAAAACAAAAAACAAAAACACACACACACACACAGAAAGGATCAGTAGCTTGTCCAAGGACACAGTAAAAGTTGAAGTGTGAGTGAAGAGTGGCCCAGAGTGTGAGTACCCTGTGCAGCCCAATAAAAGAGGTAGTTGGGGGTATGAGCTTTGGATTGGTTGGTTTGCATATGAAAGGCACACTTGCAAATGAGTCCTTTCTATATCCAGGAATTGACTAAACCCTAGGAGGGGCAGTGCCTCCAGAATCAGCCAGGCCCCAGATGTCAAAACATCAAAAAACACGGAAAATAAAAAGACATGATGAAGTCAGTGCTGATTTATTTATCCATCTCCTCCTGCCTGCAGCACAGTGCCTGGCCATAGCAGATGGTTCAGTGGTTGCTCACAGAAAAGACTAAGACGAGCAGCACAGAACAAGCAGTCATATCTCGGGAGATACACAAGGGCTGGAGCGGGAGGTGTTGATCACATTGTTTTCCATCCCTGACAGCCAGCAGACAACAAGACCCAAGGGAAAGGTAAGCAGGAAGGGAAGTTCTGATGTAGGGTGAAGGAATTATTTTGAGAGAGAGGCAATCTCAGTAGGACCCTACCATGAGCAAACAAGCAGGACAGCTGGAGATCAGGAGGGTTCCAGATGTCACAAGGGCTCCTTCTTATAGCGTTGAGCCAAGGTGAGCTACAGTCCTTCCCAGGGTCTACAGACATCACCTCCTGCACTTGCCACCACTAACCCCTCCCCAGTCTAACTCTTGAAAGTCCTGAAATGCCTGTGATTTGGCTGGAGCAGCCATCCTCATCCCAGGTAACAGACTCATTACCTGCCTGCCCCTCGTGCCTGGTGCTGGGCAGCTTCCATTGTTCTCTGGAGCTTGGTTGGCTACCAAGCCTTAAATCCAAAAGTTACTTTCTTTCTTGTGCTGGCACAAAAGAAAGTTTTGGCCTTTAGATGGACTTTTCCCCCATTCTTCCCCACAATGACCAGACTCTGAAAGGAAGAGCAAATGACTTTTTCCTCTTGGCAGAATCGTGAGAGCTTGATCAGTTCAAGCCCAGAATGTTTGTGGATCAACACTCACTCAGCAAACCTCGATGGATCGTGATATGTGAAGAAGAGGGTGAACTCACAGCATTTTATCAAGCAAGGGTTATTCTACAATCAAATGCATGTTTGAACACGGCAAAGTGCTTCTGCACATCTGGTTTTATCTTAGATCTATCCACAACTCTGCAAAGAGGTAAGGGAGTGTATTATTCCTATTTTATCCATGTTGGAAGCTGAAACTCAGAAAGGTCAAATAACCTGCCCAAGGTCAAGGCAGGAACCAAGAGCCTCTAACTCACCTGCGGAATATTCTGGCTTCAGCCCTGCTGGGAGACACTGCTCCGAGACTTCAGAGCAAAGAGGGGAGTTTCTTGTCTTCTGTTCAGGAGGCAGGAATAGTAGACGAGCACAGATTCTGAAGCCAGAAAATGTAGACTTGAATCTGTTCCTATTCCTCACTAGCTGTGTGACCTTAAGTGTGTTACTTGATATCTCTGAGGCTCTGTCTCCTCTTACGCAGAGAAGAGCAGACTACCCCTCATGGGGTTTCTATAAAGATTCAGTGAACCAACTTTAATAACACACCCGGCTTAGTACCTGATGAGAAGTAGCTGTGCAAAAAGTCCTGGTTCTCTCTCTGTCTTCTGTTCCGGGGTAACACTTGCCACGTGGAAAAGTGGCCACATACTCATTCTCAGAGTCCTGAGCTGAACAGGTTTCCCAGGAGCTGACGGTTTGAGGTTTGTGGGCTATGGCTAAGGGGTATGAGATTTCCGGGCATGATGCTCACACAAAACCCTGAATGTGAGGTTGGGGCGAGTACAGCATGCTGATGCCTGAGCAGAAACCCTTGAGGGACACTTGGAAATCATGACTGAAGAACACTTGAGTGTGCAGTGGCATCAGAGGGGTCAGGGGAGGCACGCTGAACTTCACAGTGGCACTCCCACACAATTAGGCAAATTCTTTGGACCTCCCTGATTTTCTTTAAGAAGGCCTTTCTGTCTTCACTCTCCAAGAACTCATTAAATTCTTTCTTGACACTATTTTCATTCTGTGGTTCGAATATCAGAGTAAGGAGCTCCATAAAACTGTTCCCAGCAGGATCTTTCTTTCATGAATCCTAAATAAACTTTTTCCAGCTTTAAGGAGTGGTGGCCACTCTGAGACTTGGCAAACGTGTCAGCCTCGACCCTGAATATGACTTGATCCTACAGCATGTTGCTCCTGCCAATCAGTGGGTCCCTGATGGACATGTCTTCATTTATTCAGTCCGCTTGGCTTAGTGTTCATTCTTAAGAAAATCCATCCTGGTCCCTTAGGACCTTCTGCTAATAGACTGGTTTTGTAGGAGCTACTCCCACCCTGCTATTTCCTCTCAGTTTAGTTGCTTTGCCAATTCACTTTCACTCCAGCCTTCTCTTACACTTTTCAGCCTCCTGTCACAATGGAGGCTTAAATGGGAAGCTTCTCTTTACTCGGAAGGACCAATGCCAGATAAGGGTGGGTCTGAGGAGGATTCAGGGGCCAGGACCGCACCTTACCCAGAGCCTGAGCATCACCTTTGCTGTTCTGAGTCTGTTCCCTCCTTTTGGTACCTTGGATCCTGCAATTAAGAGAGAAAGCAGAGACTGCCTAGCTCACAGACCCTGAGGATAATTTACTGACATCATGGCACTGGAGAGTGTCATGAATACCTGGCTCAAGCCTAGCTCCAGAGAGTACATTTCAAAAAATGTCAAATATATGTAAAGTACCCCCTCCCCACCAGTATTGTATATGGCACAATTTCACTGAAACCCCATCCTGAACATTGTCATAAGAACATCATCATAAAACCCACATTCTCCTACTGGCACTGGGGGCATGATTAGGAACAATTAAAGGACAAATGCAGTGTTCATTCCCAATTAAAAGAGATTTGACTTCAGAGGTCCAGTATGAATTCTTTCCTTAAAGAAGCACAATAGAGCATAGTAATTAGAGATTCAGGCTCTAGTGCCAAACTATTGGATTCAAATCCAAGCTCTGCCACTTGCTAGCTGTCTGACTTGGGCAAGATGTTTAGCCTCTTTTGTGCCTCGATTTCCTCATTTGTAAAATAGAAATAATAATAGCAATCAACTTGTAGGGACGCTGTGAAGAATAAAAGTGTCAGTACATATAAAGCGCATAAAACAGTGCCCAGCACACAGTAAGTGCTAACTAAAAGGAGCACCCACCAAGCTCCCTTTGGAGGACTTTTATACTGCATGGGGGCTCCCTGGGGGTACACAGGCAGGAGTTTCCAGATGGATGTGGGGTCTTTCGAAATCCTGACATCAGCAATGTTTTGTGTGTGTTCCCCAATGTCCACAATCATGGATCAGAAAATAACCAAGATTATGCAAATTTTACATACTGTCTATAAGAAAGATGAGCCCAGTGTAGCCATCCCACCCCCACCTTTCCAATGTGCCACAGTGAAGAAGTCTTTATCAATGCAACCCCAACAGTCC